AAGAGGATATCGAGAGAGGGGGGGAGAGACAAACAGTGGGAGAGGGGGGAGAAACAGAGAGACAGAAAGAGAGGCAGATTTGGGGGGGAGGGGAGAAAGAGGATATTGAGGGAGAGACAAACAGATAGACGTAGAGAAAGAGAGAAAGGAGACAGGGAGACGGGGAATGGAGATGGAAAGACTTACTACACAGAGAGGATGGGTAGAGTAAAAAAGATAAACACTAAGAGAGAGAAGGAGACGGAAAGAGACAATGTGTGTGTGTGTGTGTGTGAGAGAGAGAGAGGAGAACAGGGGGAAGTGCTAGCAAATATCACATGCCCCTGTTGACAGGAGGGAACGAGAGAAAGATAGAGTGGGAAAGTAGGAGGGGGAGAAAGAAAGACAGAGACAAACACAGAGAAAGAGAAGGGGAGCGATACACAAAGGAGAGAGAGAGAGTGGGAGAGAGACAGAGAAGTAGAGAGGGTGACTGCTCGATTGAAATTATGACATTGTTCTTTTCTTCAAATTGTCTTATTGATTCCTCCAACTCCGAAATGGAAGAAAAACGATTGTTCATCGTGAAGACATCTCTGCAGTCTTAATTTAGATATATAGGCCTCGAAACTAGATCTATGATTTATGTCTGTCTAGATCTCTACTTTGGCTATAGATCTAGAAGAACTTAGGTCTACCCTGCGCCAAGAGGGCATTGAAACCCTACTGGGTCTGTATACTTCGTGACTTTGTTCCCGGTTACTGGTTCTGTATACACTTTCCCTTTTGGTTTGTCTCAAAACTGTCATTGTATTAAGGTAGTGCACTTGTCCATAGAGATGGTTCAGGCTCGCTAAATCAGCGTCTGCGAGTAACGAACGGTTCGCTGGTTCTGCTCTACTGTACTACTCTCACAAAACATGGACGGAATGAACCTTCCGCTAGTGTAGATTCGTTTGCAGAGACAACTGTTCGTTTAGTGAGCGAGCAGATGGAGAGACTCCATGCTTTCAAGTGGGCGGGCGGTCAGACAGAGCGATTCCTTGCATTGCATACTACTACTAGAACTATATATGTAGGCTACTGTACTACTATTATACTCCCACACCCCGCCATCCACCAACTGCCCCCCCCCTCCCCTCTGCCACAAACACTGTACTCTCATCAAAAAGGTAGTACATTGTAGCTAGGTGCTGTTCATGATGGGATATCCCCCCCCCCCCCCTTCCAAAGTCTGTGGGAATTCTTTAAACTTCGCTATTGCGAAGAATGTAACATACAGTGTGACCCACACATGAGGTGAAAGGCTACACACATAGTGTTACTTCACTGGCCTTTCTTACTCCCTGTGACACCACTTGGCCTTGTGTCTTAAAACATTTACTTAATTGACAAACCTGCTCAGTGAATGACATTGTGGAGCGTACCCAAGTAACATACTGACTTGAGGTTTGCAGTCCGTTTGCTTTTGTCTGCTAGCCTAGGGCCTAAAGTTTGTCCGTTCACCTGCCCACTTCGTGAATTAAATTATGGAGCGGTCCGTTTGCATGTCTGTCTGTTACTCACTCGCTCTGGCTTCGTCTACGAGTAACGAAACCGTCCGTCCTTTTGCTCCAACTCTACTTTTTCCCATCATTTTCCTGTCTTGTTCATGCGTCTTTAGTGTCAATGTCACTGTCTGTTGTGTAAAGATATTTTTAGATCGGCTCTCTATGATAGTCTATATGGTTGTAATTTTTAAAGCTCTATGCAATATTTGAGTATTACATTTACTTTTCTCTTTCAGTTGCTTCAGCTTCTTGGAAAACTTCAGCGCTTACCTGTTACTATCTCAATACTTCAGGTGAGAATGTATAAAAGTTAGAAATTTACTTTGTATTCTCAATAAAATTTAGTTCAAGATAAAAAAGATGGATTATAACAAAATTATTGTAAAGCGCTTGGACTTAAATCACAGAAATATGATACGTAAAGCAGTTATGGGGAAGGGTTGTGATTGTGGTATTGCAACATGATATACATTACCATTAAAAAAAACTTCTTTTGAGAGAGAGAGTGTTGTGTTGCCTTTAATAGTAGTATTGTTATGCTGAACTGTCTGCTTGTATAAAATGGTTGGTTTTGTTTTGCTTGTACTTAACAATATAAAGCACTGTGGACTGACATCTGAAATGCCTATTATAAATGAGCATTATTATTACTTTTGTTACCAATCTTTTAAGGAAATGTTTTGATTAATCTACTTCGACCTAGTCTGTTTGGCTTAACCATTCATTACTTGCCTAATGTCCGAAGTCTATGTTATTACTATAAATGTACTGTTTGCCCTTCTCTGAAACTCAAATGACACCCCAAAAAATTGTTGTTTCCACTTTGTCCACAACAGGAGACAAGTATTGGAAAGGTGGTGAACAAGTATCGCAAACAGGAAGGTCTGGTTGGTGTGAAGGCAAAGAAAGTGGTAGACACATGGAAGTCTCTGGTTGAAAAAGAGGTTCATCTTACAGAGAGTAAAAATAGCAGGTAGGTGAAGAATTACTTCTCTTTAATCGTCAGCTTAATCATTTCATATATAGTAATTTTTTTCGGTTATTTTGTTTTTTTACGTCAGTGTGAAATTAAATGTTGTTTTTTAAAGCTTGATGTTGTTTATTACATTTTGTTGTACTGCTTTTTGTTTTGTGTAACACTTTTTAACTTAATTTGTTTGCTGAAAAGTGGCACTTTTCTCCCACTTGGCAAGGATGCCTAATAATGATAGATAATAGATAGCATTTGTATAGCGCAAATCCTGGCTCAACAGCAAGCTCTATGCGCTTCACAGTCTATACTATTACCCCAGCAGACCTGAGAGCACTCTGAAACAATATCAACTTCCTGGGAAGCATACAGTGCAAGCGGCCAAAAATAGGCGCTAAAACACTAACATTCTGACAAGATCTTTCGCTGTCTATGACCGGGTACCCATTCCCACCTGGGTGAAGTGAGGAAAATTTGTGTGAAGTGCCTTTCCCAAGGGCTCAACTTCAGACCCGCGGCTCGAAGCCCGGAACCGGCAACCTCACAATTACGAGTCCGGTAGCCTAACCTCTAGGCCACCGACGCCACCTTCACCAGAAGATTGACTTGCTTGTTTCTTTGGTTGCCCTCATGGCTTGGAGGTAGCCATGCAAACATAATACACTTTTCCTGTTCAGACAAAGAATGAATCCTCAACTGTAATATAGCTGTGTTAGGGTTTAAGAGTGTGACATTGATGAGTGAAGTGAGACAAGATAAAGAACTGGACAGACTGAGAAAAGATGATTTGGTTGGTAGTTTTCTACTCGTCGCCTCAGAACTATTTTTTCCATAGTGCCTCTTTACTCAAGTACACTTTGGACAAAACAGTTCTGAGACTATATAATTATAATAATAATTGCATTTATATGCGCATATCCATGCTCAAGAGCATGCTGAAAGCGCTTTACAACCATTATTACCCCTGCAGACCCTCTGAGAACTCTCAGAAACATTCTCAGCTTCCGCGGAAGCATACAGTGCAAGCTGCGAATTTCACGCGCTCAAACACTATCAAACTGACAAGATTTTTGCCTTGTGAGGTGCCATGGAGGAAGGTGATAAGTAAGAAATTGATCTGTATCTTTTTATAAACGTTTTGTTTTCAAGGTCCTGACGGACTCAAAATCCAAAAGGTTTAATTATTTGTCGTTTTTGCTTTTAAAAAAAATAAAAAAATGCCCAGATGAGTTTTAGAAACATAATTGTGGGCTAGGTTGGTGGGTTTACTGTGATAAATCCTTCATTTGACTTTAACATAAGCTACTTTCATTTTGAACAAGAAGAATAGAGAAAGGAAAATTTGTTGGATCAATAAGGTTCCCTAAAAAAATTCCATTATTCGGTTTATTGTATTGAACACTATAGTTACCTGGCTTGCCATTGTCATTCCCTTAATTATCAGGTCTACTTTGAAAAAATTTTGGTTGCCCCTGGTATGATGGTTAGGTTTGTTTGCCTTTGTACATAAAAGATGTGAATTCTGTTCCAACCCTGAAAGATATTGAATCGAGAGTCTGTCTCTATGCTTGACTTGGAAGTATGCCATACTGCAGGATTGGTCCTGGCAAGCCGGTTTGATGTAGCCCACCTTCGAGATTAAAATTTTGTTGATTGAGATTAAAATATTTAGCATATTTGATTCCAGTCAGTTCATGCTGAAGGGCTAGAACTCAGATGGCCTCTGGATCGGAAAAGTAAAAAAAAAAAAAAAAAAAAAAAAAATCTAATCAGTAAGAATGTGAGCCACAGAGGGAGTTTAACAATTAATCTTTGATTTTGTATGTGAGAGACATAAGTAGTTGGTAAAAGGCACTGTCTTCACCCCCGTTTTATGATTTCTACTCTTTCAGGAAGTCTTCTCCAGAGCCTCAGCCAGGAAGGAGTGACAAAAGTGGGTCAAGTAAACATCGATCTCACCGAGACGAGAAGAGCCATCATCGCAATGGTTACAAGCATCACCGCTCAGAACGCAGCGACTACTCAAACGTCAAAGTAAAACAGGAGAAGACAGAAGAAGTTGTAGCAGCTTCAAAATCGGCTCGACGAGATGATAGTAGTCAGGACGAAGGGGCTGAGCACAGTGAGAAAGGCAGCAGGACTGAGGTCCAGGGTAATGCTACCTCAGAGGAAGACGAGGACACAAGGAATCGGTCGAGGCGTCCGAGTGTGTCGGAGAACGAGGAATATGAACCGACCAGAGTCGGCGGCAGGTACGACGATGCTTCTCACACCAGAGACTCAGATAACGAGTTGGCGTACAAGCCGAGCAAGATCAACAAATACGAACAGTCGGAAAGTGAAGAGGCGGAGGATGAGCCCTATGACCCAGGAAGTGGAGCCCAGCTGGTGGCCTATGTTCCTCAAAAGGTCAAAGAGGAAAAGTTGTCTGATGAAAATGATTCTGAGAACCGCTATGTTCCCAGTAAAAAATCTTTGAAGGGACAAGATCGTGAGGAGGAAGTGCCATATGTACCTAGTAAGAGAAGTAAAGATATTAAGAAGGAAAAGGATGAAGAAGAGTATGTTCCAAGTAAAGTACGTCGCGTTGAAGCAAAGGAAGACAAGAACAAAACAGTGACCGATAAAAGCACTTCTTCGAGTAAGAAAGCCAAAGAAGCGGGCCGTCATGGCTCAGCCCACGATAATGACGAGGACTTAACGGATAGCGACGAAGCATACTGTGAAGGGGAGGACTCTCACGGTGCGTCAAAGATTGAAGACTACTACAAGGCCATGCTGGCTCAAGCCGCCGGTGATGCGGGACTCACTGTTGTGAAGGAGGAGAGGGAGGAGAAGGGAAAGGTGAGGTCATCGTCATCATCTCATGGCGCGGAGAGAAAGAAAGGAGAAAAAGAAAGGGGAGGAGGGAAAGATGCCAAATCCTCGAAAAGAGAAAGGGATGGTGAGCCGAAGGGAAAGGATAGTAGCTCAAAACATTCCAGAAGTAGAGATGAACACAAAGATTCGACAAGAAGCAGTAGGGAGAAAATAGAGACAGGGGAGTCAAAGCATCGGAGTGACAGAGGAGAGAAAAAAGGGGTGGACAGAAAAAGGAAAAAGCACAGCATTAGTGATAGTGAGGATGAAGATAAAGAGAAAGAGATTATTGGGCGTTCTACAGACAAGCATAAAGTGTCAGTTTCCTCTAGTTCTTCTTCTGCTAAACACCACAAATCGTCCTCTTCATCATCATCATCGTCATCCCGTCATCACAAGCACCCTTCCTCCTCTTCATCTTCTGGTAAACATTCGTCCTCTAGATCTTCTGCAATCCCACCACCATCTTCATCACAGTCATCTAAGTCAAAACAACAATTTTCATCAGATGAAGCTCAGTCTCATCAAAACTCCTCCCACTTTCGCCCAGTCAAAGTAAAGGAAGAGAAGTTTGAGAGAGAAGAGCAAGTAGATAGGATGCATGGTCAAAATGCCTGTGATTATGTCCCTTCAGAGGCAAAGATTAAGTCTGAGCCTCAAAGTCCTCATTATCGCAGCGCAGAAGATAACGAAGTGGATTCTACAAATGAAAGGAAGCTATCAGACTCGGAGGATGAGGTGGAGCCTTATTCACCGACTAATTTCCAGATCAAGCGAGAGGAGTCCAACGAGGAAGAGGATGGTAACTCTCAGGGAGAGGAAGGTCATGAGTACAGTTCATATCTCAAGGACAAGTACAGGCCCTCGTCGCCTGGGTCATCGGCCCATGTCAGTGAACGGTCTCGATCATCCAGTTCTGAAAGTTCTGATGAAAGTGAAAGTCGCCAGCATTCTTCTTCATCTTCTCATAAAAAGCACACGAAAGATTCCACCTCCTCCCCAGCGCTTTCTCATTCAAAATCCCAGAAGAGTGGTGTCTCATCTTCAAACTGTGTGAGTGTCTCAAAGTCCAGGTCTCACCACTCAGAGCCAAAGTCCTCTGGGTCTTCGTATGAAAAGAGCTCTGTTCCTCACAAAAGTCATACATCATCTTCTTCCTCAGGGGACAAAACCCACCGTTCGAGTTCGTCCTCTCGTTCAAAAGATAAAGAACAATATGTCTCAGGGTCATCTAAAACTCGGCATGACGGGGTAGACAAATTGAGCCGGTCGGAGAATGCTGACGGCAGAGAGCGCCATAAATTGTCAGCGTCTTCAAGCTCGAGGCAAAGAGACGACGGTAGCTCCTCTCACCACAGGCATCACAAATCGTCTGTCTCGTCCACCACAGTCACTAAGGAACAAGGTGATCCTGGCCTGTCCACTGGGGAAAGCAGACGCAATCATCACAAATCTTCATCAGCGTCATCGAATCACAAAAATCATTCTCAGTCTAAGTCATCTTCATCATCCTCTTCAAAAGACAAACAGCATAGTAAGACTAGTAGTTCTGGTGAAAAGCATAAAGAACACAAACAGTCTCCTTCACCTCTTGTGAAAGGGACAGAGCATTCCAAATATAGCTCTACTGGTACAGATATTAAACACAGTTCTCGTGCGAAGGAAAGCGTTCATCACAAATCAGATTCTTCAAATTCAAAGGAAACAAAAAGAGACTCGTCAAAGTCTAATGTAAGTGCGAGCCATAAATCTTCCTCCTCTTCATCGTCTCACTCATCATCCAATCGCAAAAAACGCAAACTGGCAGAATCTGGAACTACTGTTGATTTTGAGCAAGATTTTTTCTCCGATGCTGTTCTCATCAAACCGGAACCGAAATCTCCCATTCGCAAAGCAGCGCCTAGATCAACGTCTGTCTCTCCGACTCCCCCTCCGAGTGGTGAGAATTTTGCAACTGAGACTTCTGCTGGGAGAATGTCAAATTCTCACAGCAGCAAGAAGTCGAAAACATCGGAAGCCGTTCAGCACAACAAGGATCATCGTAGCAAAGATCACTCTAGAAAACATAACAAAGTCAAAATATCCACGGATAGACATATGGAGGTGGATTTAGACGAGGTGCCCGCCGATGTTCCTGAGGATCCCGCTTCTCCTGAAGAGACTGATGCCGGGATGTCTTTCGAGGACTTTTTAAACTTTGATGAAGTGAAGTTTGTGAAGAAAGGGAAGAGTTCGTCTAAAAGCTCACAGAAGTCGCCCCGGCAGAAACTGACACCTAATAGCAGCAGCAGCGGTCTGAAGACGGGGAAGTCGGAGAGGGCTGAGGTCAGGGCGGATAGGGGAGGATCCTCTTCATTATCATCCGCTTCACTGTCTGTTCCGAAACCATCGAATGTGGTAAGTACGCGAGATGAACTTGAACGTATTATAATCCAGAGAGCAAAGTACTGCTGTACAGTATGCTCTCAATATAATGTGTGGCTCAGTCACACTCCCCCACCCCCCCCATGGGCGGTGCCACAGACTGAAGTTTCTTTAGGCCATTCCCAAAGGGGAGACATAAACTTGTTCTTATGCACATTAGAATTGTAAATGGGCTGATTCAACAATGTCATGCTCATAAATGTGCCTGAACTGCAACAGGGAACTGCTGCTTTTTCTTTCCTAATCCTTAATATCGTCATTTTTCCGCCTCGACTTCTTTTGTATGTTTGTCACACTCTTGTGATCCGCTATTTCCGGGGTGCCTTGATAGTCGAAGCCGACTTTGTGCTGTGTTAAGGTAGAGAGGTGAGCAGAGTAAGCCTGATTCCTTGCAGCCTTGCAAAGACTTCTCTGTTGACATCCACCCCTTAGCGCCCATATGACCTTATGCAGTTGCGAGCGCTGTAAAAACTCTACTAAAACTAAAACAACTTTGTCAAAGCATAGGCTTTCTCGTCAGAGGCTCTCATTCGTCATGCATTCTCACTTTCTGATCCACACTCGTATGCAAACTGTACTCTTATGCATGCTCTCTCAATCAGATGTCCTCATGACCACAAGCATAAATGGAAAAGAAGTGAGACTTACAAAGGATGCCTTCCTACTACTACCAAGTTATGAGCTTAAGAAAGAACAAACACAAGATTGTGTCTGTGGTCTTGCATATGTACTAATGTACTCAGTGGTTTGTTTGCTGGACATACCTACCTTCTAAAGGTAAAAAGTTGAGAGGTCGAGTCCCCTGGGAAAAAGTTTTAAAGGACACTTACCCAAAGTTTCTACTTTCCCCCCCATGTGGGAATGGCTTTGCCTCTTGTAAAAGGAAACAAGATTTTTTTTGCTCTTGTCTGATACATCTTAATTGCACACCTTTGACTGCTTGTATTGCTAATTTTTCCAGCAAAGGAACAAATTGTGCAAGTGTTTTTGCTTGTGTGTGTGTGTGTGTGTTTCATATATATATATGTATGCATGGACCTGTGTGTTTAAGGATATGGGTAATGATATGGAAGTGTTTTTTATGATAAAATCTCACTATTCATTTATTACATGTATAAATGTTTCCTCGGTGGTACATAAGACTTTCTCTTTGGGATCAAGCAACTTATGTATAGATACTTTGTTTCCCCTCTTCTCTTTCCCTCCCGGTTATAGTTGTTGATGGTCATTCTGGCGTGGTCTGCTATTTCTACTCTGTTTGAGTGTCACCAGTGGGTGGTTGGCGGGTGCTCTGGTGTGGTTTGCTTCTTCTTTCCTATCAAACATCTATCGTCCTTTTCTCCCCTTTTCCTTTTTTTATGTTTGTTACTCTCTTGTAACACATCTAATCTTCTGGCGCTCATATGACCTTTTGCAGTTGCGAGCGCCGTAAAACCTCTACTAAAACTAAAACTAAAACTGAGTATCACTGTTATCCTCTCCTGTTTCGGAGAAAGTGATGGGTTGATAGATGAACGCGGCACCACTACTAGGTCTATTGTTTCTCTCTCTCTCTCCATTGTTTCTGTCTACCTTTTTTTCTTTTCTTCTGTTGTTTCCTCCTTCTATGTCTTGCTATTTCCATTGCACTTTAGTAATCATTACTGTGTTGATTATTTTGTCTCTTCTCACCCACTCTTTCTCAGCAGTAAATGTCATTGTGCATATGTGTCTATCTTCTTTTTTTTTTGTCGGGTGCTTGGAGGGTGCCCCTGGCAGGTTCTACTTCTTTACTTTCCCCGTTGTCTGTCTGTCTGTCTGTCTTCCTTATTCTCAGCACTAAATGACCATTATTATGTCGATGTGCTTCTGTGTACTCAAAAACATTTATTTTTTTTGTGTGTTTGTGACTCTCTTGTAACATCTCTTATCTCCGGCACACATATATGAACTTCATAATTGTGTTGCAAGCACCATCATAAAGCGTTTATTAAAACTCATAAAGTGCTTATCAAAACTAAAAGGCCTACTACCCCCGCCCCTGATTTTGTCCTACCCTCACCCCCTCCAGGTCTCTTCAATGGACATTCTTGGCGCACTGCCGGAGCCGCGTGCAGACTACAAGCCTTTGAGGTTCAACCCTTACTTCCGAGATGAACCGGAGCACGGTCAGTAGTTTGTCCTCTTTGAAGCAGACGGGACAATGTTAATTTTTGTGTGTTCTGTTGGACATATATGGTGGCGCAGTGGTTTTGGCGGGTGGTTGGAGGGTGCCACTGATAGATTCTCCTGACGTCTTTACTTTCCTTCTCTTGTTTCTGTCTGTCTGTCTGTCTTAGTTTTTACCAGCGCTAAATGGGCATAGAAGATGTGAACTTGAATCTTAAGTAGAAGAGTTATGCTGCTACGTATAGAAGACAGGAACTTGTCATGAAGTAGAGAAATTTTTTGTGGTTGGTTGGCAGGTGCTATGATGTGGTTTGCTCCTTATTTTCTATCAAAAGTCTATCGTCGTCCTTATCTCTCCTCCTTCTTTTTTGTGTACGTTACTCTCTTGTAACACCTCCATTCTTCGGCACTTATATGACCTCATTGTGTTGCAAGTGCCGTAAAACTCTTACTAAAACTAAAACAAAAACTAAAAAGTATAGAAGACATGAACTTGATCTGAAGGAGAGATTTGTTTTGTTTTCATTGAACATTAGCATGGGTCTCCTGGGATGTTGCGTCTTGCCAGGCTGGTGCTGGGTCCCACAGTCAGTGTGTCATAGGGGCATAGTGCTCCGCCTCCATTGCTTGTGTGGCATCATGATCAAATCAGGCTCTCGTCAAAAGAATGAAATGTGGGTGGTTGGCGGGTACTCTGGTGTGGTTTGCTCCTTCTTTCCTACCAAACATCTGTCGTCCCGGTCTCTCCTCCTTTTTTTGTGTTTGTTACTCTCTTTTAACACCTCTAATCTTTGGCTCTTATATGAGCTTATTGTGTTGCAAGTGCCGTAAAACTCTTACTAAAACTAAACTAAAAGAATGAAATGGAAGAAAATGACATTTTTCTGCCTGTTGGGCAATTTATATCTATTGGGGGGGGGGGGGGGGGGCACCTCAGCACATTTATGTCCACTTACAGACATAATATATATGAGCGTATATGTGTGGATTTTGCTGAAAAAGGCGTAGATCAAATGCATAAAAAATGTAAATTATCTGTTTCTAAGGACGCTCGAGGTTTGAAAGTCATCATACTTTGGTGGCGACTTTCAGGCTTATTTAACCCCTGACATCAGGCAACCCCCCCCCCCCATCTCATTCACATCTCAAATATCTCGACTTCTGTTCAAGGTACATGCATATATTTTTCATAAAAAGCAAGATTAATGAACAAGCTTCAAGTGTATAAGAATAACTCCATATACTCCAAAAATTGAAGAGTATCTGATTTTATGGTGTTGTGACACACTTTTCTGACAACGATGATGTAAAATTTAAAGAGGAAGTGTCTGTACACGAAACAAGTCATGTAAGTTTTCAAAATACAGAGGTTCACTGTATCATCATCATCCAGTGCCAGATCTGCGACAGACATCATTGATCATGGTTCTCCATTCATTCCTTTGCTCAGATGCTCTTAAAAAAAGCTATGTTTCCCTGATCTTTCCCTGTCACCCACTTGTTCAGGTTCCCCGAGTAGGTTGCTCTGGGCCTACCCTTGCCTCGCTTGCCTTCAATTTTGCCAGTGAGAGCTAGATGTTCAAGACCCTTGTGTCTCTTCAGGTGTCTCAAGAACTGCATTTGTCGTTGCCTGATTGTTTTTTTAACAGTGAGCGTCCCACGTGGGTTTCATCAAGCACTACCTCATTTGATTTCTTTTCTTTCCACGATACTCTTAGCAGTCTCTGAAGAAACCACATTTCTGTTGAGGGTTGATCATACATAGCATTTCAGAACTTGTTCACTGTACTGTATACCATTTAAAAAACCCAACAAAGTTGTCACCTTTTTGTGTGTTTTTTTTTTTTCTTGTCCAGAAATGTCAGCTCCTCTTGTGGATCCAGATGAGATCGGCACAAAGATCCAGGTCAGGACCCAGGTGTATTCCGGGAGGAAGCACGGTGTCACAGGTTGGTGTTTTGTTGTCATGTTTTGGCTGTGCATGTGGTAGGTAAGAGGAAAGGGGGAGGGGGAGAGAGAGAGAGAAAATATATTGTATAGTTTCCTCTCTCTCTTTCCCAGCTAGGGTAAGTTATGACAGGCATTATTATAGCAGCCTGCCTCCTAAAAGATCAAACTATTGTATTGATCGTGGTATAGAACATTTACAATCAATTTTAACATTTACAAAAATGGTGAAATGGTATAGGTTTAACGCCTCTATCAATACTTTTAGGTTATTTAAGCGGCGGGACCTCTGAGTTTAATGTCCGTCTCTGAAAGGACAGAGCCAAATGGAAAATTCGTGTCAACTGCCTATCCCAAGAACACAATGTCAGACTGAGCTGAGGCTCAAATCCCCGAACCCGCAATCTCACGATTACGCGCCCGGTAGCCTAACCACTAGGTCACCGACGCCAAGCAGTCTGTTTACAATCAATTTTGGTACACTAATAAAGTGGATGAAGCGTGTGTGTGATGTCGAATTGTCTTTTCAGAAGAGTCAAGATCCTATAATTCTGTATTTTTGTCGAAAGATCTAATTGACGCTATCAGTGTGGTAATGATTTTATTTTCTTTCACTACCGCTTTAGAGCTTTGTGCACTGATATCTCATTTAACCCTATCCGTATACCTGGGTCATTTTGTATCCCAGGGATTGTATTGTTCTCATTTTAGAATTCTTTTAGTGTGAAGATCTTTTTGAAACTTAAAGTATTTCTCAAAAGATCATGTTGACAGACTGCTATGTAAAGCGTACGGATCAGATTAATGAATAAATTTCCTCTTTGGAAGTGGTGGCACAGAGTTCCCCACGTCGTATGGATACGATAGTAAAACACGACATACGGATAGGGTTAATCGGGTTAATGTCTTTCTTCGTTATGGTGCGGGTTACCATGGTTTGAATCCTAGACGGGACTTTCTTGAATCTTGAAGTAAGGTTGTTCTGGGAATTGTTTTAGGCTCTCCACCTACTTGGCTCAGTTTTATTGGAGATGGATGTTAAATTCGGAGGTCTTGCCTCCTAAATTACCGTACCATGTTGAAAGTGAGCGTAGAACCCAAACCATGCCATAGGGCCATACTTTTTGAGTCAACGGCGCACATGGCAGAAAGTCGACTGGCGGGTGCTCTAGTTTGGTTTGCTTCTTTATTCTTTCCTATCAAACGTCTATTGTACATATATCCTTTCCTTCTTTTTTTGTGTTTGTTACTCTCTTGTAACACCTCTAATAATCAGCACTTATATTACCTTATTGTGTTGCAAGTGCCGTGAAACACGTACTAAAACTAAAACTACTTTGTACCAGTATGTAAATGTACTTACATGTACTTTGTTTACATTTTGCCTTCATTTGGTTTCATTTCTTGTTCATCCATCGTACTCTTACCCCTGGCAGAAGGTACGTTGGTGTTCATCTATCTGTGTCTAGGAAACTCTGCAAGGGTTTGCGTCTTTGTGTCATATGTCATATGTGTGTCACTTTGCTTTTATTGTTGTCCCATTGTATGTTGTTCCCCCCCCCCCCCCCCCTACGGTGCCACTGACGGAATTGTCTTTAGGCCATTCCCAATGGGGGGACATTAACCTGTTCTTATGTACAGTAGAATTGTAAATGGGCTGATTTGTCAATGTCATGCTCATAATTGTGCAGTTGCACTGCAACAGGGAACTGCTGCTTTTTCTTTCCTTATCCTTACTATCGTCATTTTTTCTCTACTTCTTTTGCATATTTGTCTCACTCTTGTGAGCTGCTATTTCAGGGGGGCCTCGATAGTCGAAGCAGGCTTTGTGCTGTTGAAGCTAGAGAGGTGAGCAGAGTAGGCCTGATTCCCTGTATAGACTTCTCTGTTGACATCCACCCCTTGGTGCTCATATGACCTTATGCAGTTACGAGCGCCGTAAAATTGTTGTCCCGTTGTACGTTGTTGTTTTGTCTCGTCTTTGCCTTTCTTTCTTTCTTTCTTTCTTTCTTTCTTTCTTTCTTTCTTTCTTTCTTTCTTTCTTTCTTTCTTTCTTTCTTTCTTCCTTCCTTTCTTTTTCTTCTCTTTTCTTTTCTTCTTTTTTTTTAATTGTTGTTTTTGTTGCTGTTTTTTTTTTGTGCAACCATTATCACGCTGACTAGTGGTGAACCTCTTATAGCCCGCGCACACTTCTCATGAACCTCTTGTGTGGTTGATGGGTGCTCTGCTGTGGTTTGCTCCTTCTTTCCTATCAAACATCTGTCGTCCTTTTCGTGCCTCCTTTTTAGTGTTTGTGTCAGGGATACACTAACAACTCATGGCATCCCCCTGACCCAAGCTCTTCGGCTGGTGGCAGAGAGACGTCTCTTTCTTCCCAGGACACCCAAAACGGTATAAGCGGCGGATACAAGTAAAGTAAAGCTACTGTTTTGAAACAACTCTAATCTTCGGCCCTGAAATGACCTTTTTTGTTGCAAGTGCCATAAGACTCGTACTTAAACTACACTCATATGGTTCTGCGTGATTTAGCAGAATGGAGGTGTCTGATTGCCAGATTGCCGATTTTTGCTCCAGTTTTAAGATGGTTAAGACTGATGGTGCAATGTCAAAGTGTTATGTTGTGCTGGGTCAGTGTGTGCTTTTGTCATAGTCCGGCCATATTGTGTGCTTTTTTGTGGGTGGTTGGCAGGTGCTCTGGTGTGGTTTGCTCCTTCTTTCCTATCCGACATCTATCATCCTAATCTCTCATCCTTCTTTTTTGTGTATGCTACTCTCTTGTCACGCCTCTAATCTTCGGCACTTATATGACCTTATTGTATCGCAAGTACCCTAAAACTCTTACTAGAAAGAAGACATTGACGGATAAACATTGATTCATCATTATTATTATTATTGTTGTTGTTGTTATTATTATTATTATTTTTTATTGTTGTTGTTGTTATCATTATTGTTACAGTTCAAGATCAGAAGTTTATTTTATTCCCTGTTTCATAACTCAATGGGTGGTTGGAAGGTGCCACAAGTAGGTCCCAACGAGCCGAAAACGTTTCGGAGTATTCTAGGGTATAAAGTAAAGTAAAGTAAAGTTGTTCCCGCTTCCGATCCGGACATTGGGGATTGCCTTGTTAGTGAGACAACTTCCTGGGCCTTCGGCATATATTGTGGTAGGGTGGCCAGTTCCTTTCCATGCCACCTTTACTTCCCTAACTCGAAGTCGGGCACCCATTACTGCTGGGTGGGCAGTAGGGAGCGAAAAAAATCTGTATCCGAACTGAGGCTCGAACCGGACTTTCCGCTTTGGAGACGAGCACACTAGCCGCTCCGCCGCCACACCCTCTTTAGTAGGGTATACCGGGGTAATAATGGTTGCAAAGCAGAAAGAGCATACACTATAGAGCATGATTATGCCTTGCATAAATGCAGTCACTATTTTAATTGTTTGTTATAAATGACCATTTTTCTGCTATTGAACTTCTTTTTACCCTAACTGAACTGTAAAAAAGAACTTTAAAAGATGATCACAGAACCTGCCCCGTGTTTATTGCCCTTTTGCGCCACAAACTGTCCCAGTGGGTGGTTGGCGGGTGCTCTGGTGTGGTTTGCTTCTTCTTTCCTATCAAACAGTTATCGTCCTTATCTCTCCTCCTTTTTTTGTGTACGCTACTCTCTTGTAACACCTCTAATCTTCGGCACTTATATGACTGTAATGTGTTGCAAGTGCCGTAAAACTCGTAGTAAAACTAAACGTATGCCACAAACTATCCCCAAGGTGTGGCACTAACTATCCCAACACAAACAGCACTACCCTATTTTGTTATGGATTAGTGGCTACTAATTGTAAACATTTTCCGCATTTAATGTAGTTTTATGTTTCAAGACTTATGATTACGAAAAGTTTATGATTGTGATAGGCACGAGAAGAATGAAGGGATTTTTACTTGTGTTTACAGATACGTGCATTTTGCACATTTGTGCCCCTTGAAATTTTTTGCAACGACTCTATGACTTTTGTACGTTTCATGTTGTAGATTGGTCTTTTGTTTTACTTATTTCTGCCAATCATGGGGGTGCTGTTCTATGTAAAGTTCAAGGTTCCAGTTTTCTTTTTTAGTATGTCAGCTCCGTGTTGTTTTTACCCCTTTCAGTGTTTGGGAATGGTCATCGATGTCCTCGTAATAGAGCACTCAGTGTCACTTTCAGTATTTTCGCACAGCCTAAATCTTCTTGTAACACTTAGTGTCGATGAATGTTCTCATTGTGAACTTCACTTTCATTTCTAAGCTTCTGTTCAGAAAGCCATGTGGGTGGTTGGCGGATGCTCTGGTGTGGTTTGCTCCTTCTTTCCTATCAAACACCTGTCGTCCTTAACTCCCCTCCTTCTTTTGTTTGTTTGTTACTCTCTTGTAATACTTTTAATCTTCAGCACTTATATGACCTTATTGTATTGCAAGTGGCGCAAAACACTTGCTAAAACAAAGAATATTCTCATTGTGCCTTCGCATTCGCTACTGTTAAGATAGCCATGAGGAGTTTCCCCCTTTATTAGACTTGTGTTGGGCTTTTTGTGGTAAGAATTGTCCATGGATATACATTGTCTAGCGGGTGGTCGAAGGGTGGGAGCCACTGATAGCTTCTTCTTCTTTTCTTTTTCTCTATGGTCTCGGCCTCTCTTGCACATTTCCAGGTGGGTGGTTGGTGGGTGCTCTGGTGTTGTTTGCTTCTTCTTTCCTATCAAACATCTGTCGTCTTTATCTCCCCTCCTTCTTTTTTCTGTTTGTTACTCTCTTGTAACACCTCTAATCTTTGGCACTTATATGACCTTGTTGTGTTGCAAGTGCAGTGCAAATCTTACTAAAACTAAAACAGCACATATCCCATGCATTAAATGACGATTATTGTGTTGATGTTTTTCTCTTTACTCAAAATAACCACATAGTTGACTCTAACAAGAACTGGGGATACTACTCGTATGATTAGGCCATTGTTGTTGGTACGCGGATGCTAGCGAGTAGTGTGCTAATGAATTATGAGGATTGGTATACCCAACTAACTGAATTTATTTCATTCCTCATAACCTTAAGAGTACAGTACAGACATTACAAGCAATATTTATACTACACTGTGTATATTATTTTATTATGTACATTCGAACCTGCCCTGACGGCCACCTCTATAAGACGGCCACCTGTACAAACGGCCACTTTCCATTTCCCCCCATGCGTTTTTTCTATATTATTTAACTGTGTAAATCGGGCACCTGTCCAAATTGGCCGTGGCCACCATAATTTAACACACAACCCCTATCATACTAAGCAATAATACCTGTCTTAGACGGTCACCTTACTGACTCCATTACGTTTTGTCATAAATTGTGCATTGGCCATAATTCACTCACCTGTCGTTGTTGTTAGGTAGTCCCTCCAACCGATCATGTTGCGTAGGCCCCTCCCACTGTTGACCAATAGCTACCAATTTTCAGCTGCTGGTGAGGTAAGTGTGTGATGCCTCATAACCCATAAGCCTCGCCCAGAACTCATACACAAATCGTAAGTGAGATGAGAGGTCACTGTTAACCCAGTCTGTAACAAAGTAACAAAGGACGTCAACATGAACTTGTTACAGAAGCGTCCCTTGTTTTCCGAGTGGTGGCGACTCATGTGTTTTTTTTACCATAGTACTCCCTGTCTGACACATTTCGTTTTATTGTCACCCTTGTGCAAAATCAGCGACAAAATAAAAATTACAAACGAAATACAAACCAACAACAACAACACCAACAAAGACAACATAATGGGGCTACTTTCGATATGGGCCTCAGATGGGAATGGTTTGTTTTCTTTATCTTGATCAGTCCTGCCCAAGACGGCCACCTGTCTTTTACGGCCACTTTTCTCCTTGACAGTGGGTGGCCGTCTTACACAGGTTTGACTGTATTTGTATGTGCTCATTTCGTAATGATGTGTAAGCATGCGCATGTGATAAGCCAGTAGGTGTGTGTGTGTGTGTGCGTGCGTGTGTTTGATGTGCAGTTGTGTGCACATGTGTGCACGTGAGTGTGTGTAATGTGTCCATGAGTGTGTGTGTGTGTGTGTGTGCATGTGCGTGCGTGAATATTGTTCGGTCATTCATTTATGTAAAGCGCCTAGAGCTGTGTTCACACGGGAGTGGGCGCTAGAGAAATAATTTTTATTATTATTATTATTATTATTATTACACTGCCAGAGAGAAAACTGTGTCTGCTGCACAAATACTGAATTGACAACCAGACTGTCGTTGACAACGAAGAAGAAGAAGAAGAGTGGGTGGTTGGCGGGTGCTCCCGTATGGTTTGCTCCTCCTCTCCTATCAAACATTTTTTGTCCTTATCTCTCCTCAATTTTTTGTTTGTTTTTGTTTTGTTTTTTGGGTGTTTAAAAAAATGTTTTGTTTGTTTGTGTGTTTGTTACTCTCTTGTAACACCTCTAATCTTCGGCACTTATATTATATGATCTAATCTTATTGCAAGTGTTATTCAACACTTACTAAAGGAGAGGAAGAGGAAGAATTTCATTCCTTCTTTCTCTCTCTTTTCCTCCAGCCCCTCACCTTTGGCCAACTCATCTTGGTTGGACAGTGGCTGCTCAGGTTAAAAAGGGAGAAACATAGAATTCTAGCAAAACCTAAAACATTCATGGTGTATATTTTTTTTATTTCTCCCCAGAGGTCAAGTCACTCTATGACTTGTGCATGCAGGTCTTGATTGAGAACATTGATGGTAAGTTATTCTGAACAAGGGCTGTGGGTGGTTGGCGGGTGCTCTGGTGTGGGTTTTTTTTGGTGTGTTTATGTTACTCTCTTGTAATACCTCTAATCTTCGGCACTTATATGACCTTATTGGTGAGTGGTTGGCATGTGCTCTGGTGTGTTTTCCTCCTTCTTTCCTATCAAATTTCTATCGTCCTCATCTCTCCTCCTTTTTTTGTGCATGTTACTCTCTTTTGACACCTCTAATCTTCGGCACTTATATGACCTTATTGGTGAGTGGTTGGCATGTGCTCTGGTGTGTTTTCCTCCTTCTTTCCTATCAAATTTCTATCGTCCTCATCTCTCCTCCTTTTTTTGTGCATGTTACTCTCTTTTGACACCTCTAATCTTCGGCACTTGTGTGACCTTATTGTGTTGCAAGTGCCGTAAAACTCTTACAATGACTAAAGAACAAGGGTTGTAGAACATTTCCCCTGTAAATGTTGTTCCAATAAGATGAGCTAGGATACTGTGCGCGTAATTGATCCCTACTTGGAAGAAATTGACCATGTGCTTTCATCAGCTTCTGAGGCCCAAAATTTGTCATGGGTGGTTGGAGGGCAACACTGGTAGGTCCTACTTCTTTACTTTCCCTCTGTTGTTTCTGTCTGTCTGTCTTACTTTTACCCAGCACTAAATGGCTGTTATTGTCTCCATGTGCTTCTCTTCACTCAAACAAACAAACAAAAAGAGGCACAAAATATGTGCTCTCAGCGACAAACAACACATCACATTTTCTTTCTCTCTTTGTCTCTCTATCCCTCCCTCCATCTCTCCCTAACTACTTACACGCATAATCTCTGTAATTAAATTGTTCGTGCAGTTAAAAGGGAATTTTGGTAATTTGTTCCAGTAATAAAAAGGGATTCCCTATATCTCTCAACTTCTTGTAGATGAATTTGCTGCCAGCTGCAAATTTTAAGAAAAAAAATGTTGGAACAAAATTTTTATTTGCCCCTGCTTAAATTTTTTTTTCATTTGTTAATGACCATTTACTTGTAAAGAATTCTATGTTCTACACACTCCAAACTCTCTTCCCCTTTTTGACTTGAGTCTCTGTTCAAGAGAGAGTCCCTTACCTCTGTGTGTCATGACGTGGTAGAATCAGGTGCTCGTCAATTTTGGGGTATGTGGAGTTATTAGTTTCATCTTACAGATTGTTCATTTGTCTTGCTTGTGTTGAAAAAATATCTATCTTTAATAGAGGCTGAGGTATATGTGACTGAAGGAGATGGGGGTCACCTGGTGCCAGGCGTAAAATTAGTAAGAAAATGGCTCCCACAGTTTGATGATTTCCAAAGGTTGATGACCTGGAAATTGTACATATTTTGTTATTTTGACGAGCGCCTGATTTCACCACAATGCTTCACATACGATCATTATCTTGCCAATTTGAGCTGGCTATAACTCAAACCTCCTCTATGGCAGCCATCGACTATGTGGGAGGAATTCCTTACAGTATCCTGAAGCCTGTCCTGGAACGCTCCACAGCTCAGCAGCTGTATCAGCTGGAAGATTTTAACCCGGTACGTCCGCTCATTTTTTTTGTCTCTGTTTTAACCCTATCCGTACGTCGTGTTTTAGTATCGTATCCATACGACATGGGGAACTCTGTGCCACTACTTTCCAAAGAGGAAATTTACTCGTTAATCCAATCTGTACGCTTTGTCTGTCAAAATAATTTTTTGAGAAATACTGAAAGTTTCAAAGAAATCTTCGCACTAGAAGTATTCTAAAATGTGAAGAATACAGCCCTGGGGGTACAAAATGACCCCAGGGCTTACGGATAGGGTTAAATAAATTTCACCCACTTTAAATGAAAATGTTCTGACACTTATGGCCGTTCTGAGTTACTCAGACCTTGAATCAGTCAGAAACCAAATGTTCTATCTGCTCTATCGAAATGTTAAGATTATTCGGAGTCGTTATCGAGATGTTCAAAGAATTGCATTAGAAAAATTTTTACATGTTGTGAAACTCGGAAATTTTTAACGTCAAATTTCTCAAAACTGGGTGCTGAGCAAATAGAGCTTTGTAATTCTTGGGTAGCGGTTTGTTTCTTCTAAGTATTTTACACAACTATCGACACAATTTAGATCGTGTAGGAGGCAGGCAGCTTTGAGTCTTCATGTCATAGTTAACTTGAGTAGTTGAGTGGAGAGCACCATCCTGGCAGACAGGTGGTGGTACATTTGCACCTGTTCTTACGGGCACCTGTCCAAGACAATAACCTGCCTAAAGGATCACTTCCCAGTTGTGGTTTTTTATGAAGTTTAATAACACTGTCTAAGATGTCCACTTGTCTAAGACAACTACTTATCTCCTCGACAATCACCCCCCGGGGCGGTGCTTGTGATTGAAGCGTCTTGAGGCTATTCCCAAAGGGGGGACATTAACCAACCATGTTCTTATGCACAGTAGAATTGTAATTGTAAATGGGCTGATTCATCAATGTCATGCTCATAACTGTGCCTGAACTGCAAACGGGGAACTGCTGCTTTTTCTTTCTTAATCCTTACTATCATCTTTTTTCCTCTATTTCTTTTGTATGTTTGTCACACTCTTGTAAATGACCCGCTGTTTTCTGGGTGCCTTGATAGTTGAAGCAGACTTTGTGCTGTTGAAGCTAGAGAGGTGAGTAGAGTAAGCCTGATATCAATGATACTCTTGGTCACCTTCATTATTTAATTATACTACTGTTGTCTTACTTAGTTGATTTTTTAAAATTTGTTTTCCATTTTTTTGTTATCACATTTCTTTCATGGGAAAAACCGAAATACGTTTCCATTGGGTTTCATAAACTAAAGTAATTTCACTTGTATTGTGTAGTGCGTACTGCTTGTAGTTTACCATGCCATTTGGGGGGCTCTCGTGGCCTTGAGGTTAAGGGGTTGGCCTGTCATTCAAAGGTCCGGGGTTTGAATCCGGGTAACGACGGAAAAATGTCCTGCTCTTTAGCAATGTTCTGTGGTCTGCTTTCATCTCTTTTTCTGCCCCCATCCCCTCACCTCCTTTGCCCCCCTCCTCTGGGGTCCTGGCTCTTTCTGCAGCCTTTCTACTGCTACTCCTTGGCTCCTTCTTACTGCTGTCTTTCAGCCACACCCCTGATCTTCTGGTAGGAAAGTTCTACACCTAGCCTTCTAGGACAAGGGCGAAAAATCGCACGTTAAAGATCCCTTGGCGCTCTAAAATCGATAAGAGCAGGCTGCAGCCGCCACCCGGGCAAAAATGCAAAATTTTCTACCAACTGAAAAAGTTTAATGTGTCCCGCTTGCTCATATGACCTTATGCAGTTGCGAGCACCGTAAAACACTTACCGAAAAAAACATCAAAAGGCTTATGCCATTCTGTGTATATTTCAGCACTTCCTCGAGGACTCTGATGAGCTGTGGGAGAGTTTGTGCCACAGAGAGTTTCGCGGCAGTCGTCCAGATGAAATGGAGAGCTGGCGGGAACTCTACTTGGTAAGGGACCGTTGTTACTTTTGTGATGAAGTCATGCTCAAATACATTGGGGACTTGTTTTAGATTAGGGTCAGTGCTTGAGTCTTTCAGTTTAACATCAGTTAAAAGTGAGCAGAAAGTTCTCATTTTGATCGTGAAATCGATTGGGGAGTTTGATAAAGATTGTTTGCTTTTTGTTGTTTTTTCTGCAGTGGGTGTTCATCTCAGTAGGTTTTACTCTTAATACTTTTAAGTGAACATTTTTGGGGGCTGATATAGCTCTTGAGTAAAGTAACGAATAAAGGATGTAAAAGCAGGGAGAAAGTTGAAGCAGCATAACAGGTTGTGATGAACTCGTCTCCCAGGCAGTTGACTCTTGTGTGCCAGCATCTGTGCATCCAATTTGGGCATTTTTGTGATGGAAAATCGACTTTGACTTAGTTTTCAAAATTTGATAAGTCACTTTTATATTTCTCTGCATCCCCACGTGATATGATCTGCTGTTGTTAACTGAACACCTTTTTGAGAAAATGGAAAGATGCTTTAGTTAACGTACCTATATTTCTTCCCCTCCTCTCTCCTCCCTTGAATCTAGAGAAGGCATGAAGAGAGACAAGAAAAGTACCAGAAACTCAAGGCCAGCATGTCAGCCTCTATCGTGAAGGGACAAGCAGGTATGGCAAATAGTTGTTGGATGCTTCAAACTAGCTTCAGTATACGACCCTGCCTTTCTGAGCTGAATGGATATGCTATCCCGACAGAAAGACGGGAGCTACCTAGCTAAATTTGATATTCATACTTTACTTGATGCTTCAGATAAATAATAAATGTGTCACGACGCGGTGGAATCGGGCGCTCGTCAATTTTTTGGTATATGAAGTTATTAGTATCATCTTAAAGCCTGTCCATTTGCCTTGCTTTCGATTAAAAAAACAACATAATTTATCTTGGATACAAGTCAAAATATTGGCAATGGAAGGAGGTGGGGGGTCGCTTGGTTTCAGAGGCAAAATTAACGAAGAAGTGGCTGCCAAAGCTTTATTATTTCCTTAGCTTGAAAGTCCGTGGAAACTTATAATTTACGTCTTTTATCCTTTTATTCAGCATTTTTCAGTAAACTCCCCACAAGAACGTGTTTTCTAATAGGCTGAAACTTGTTTGGCCAACAACAGAAATTCGATAAAAATTCACAAACCTTCGGAAAAATGCCAGTTTCTTCACTTTCATTATTTTGGCGAGCGCCTGATTTCACCAGGATGCCTCAGAAATGTTTTTGTCGGTCTGTCCTTCTTTTTCCCTCCCACTTAACGGTGGTTCTTAGTGTGGCATATTTGTCTTTGATAAAGTAAAAAAAAGTTGACCTGCTTAGGACGATATTGTCATGATGTCATATGCTATACTTTGTTTCCTGACTGGCATCCGAAATATTCCACTGGCAGGTCGCAAAGCCAAGTTGGCATTTGTGGATTCCGTGGCTAAACCGCCCAGGGAAGTGTTGCGTCAACAGAAACGCTTCGGGACGAGCTGCATTATCAGAACCAAAGGAAACCCCAACGTCAAGGGTTCGAGCTCTGGCCTCAAACAGTACCGGCCCAGCACTCTAGTCCCTGCTCACAACCCGATGGACGACCGTGCGAGAAGTAAGTCTATAAATGGCTAACCTAGAATTACTAAGTTCTATCTGCTCAGTACCTTTTTTTTTGGGGGGGGGGGGGGGGGGGGGGGGTTTGTTGTTGTTGTTGTCTTGTTTCCTGATTTTGGTGTCGATATTTGTAGGTTATATAAAAATGTGTTGACATGGTGCAAATTGTTATGTTTCAAGAAAAAGGGGAATTGTTTAGTCGATGATGATGATGATGAATCTGCTCAGTACCTAGTTTTGAGAAATTTGACATAAAAATATTTGAGTTTCACAACATGTCATACTTTTTCGAATGCTAGTCTTTGAATATCTTGATAACGGCTCTTAATATTTTTACGAGTTTGATAGAGCAGAGGGAACATTTGGTTTCCGATGTCGTGGTCTTAGTAACTGAAAACGGTAAAAAAAAGTCGGATAGGTCTAGAACACTTTGTAATTCTAAGGTAGCGAAATGTTACTTATATGAAGATTGTCTGCTGTGAAATTCATCAGTTCTATGGATGTTGTTTTTTTTAAATAAGAGAAAAGGGGGGGGGGAGGGGGGGGGGCTTTAACCAGCTATAAATTATAAATATAGTATTCTTGAAAAAAACAAAAAAACATTTTCACTCAAGGTCAAAAGTCGCATTAGTGTTTAGCCGGAGTTTCCCTCATATTTAAAGCGATGGCAGTTCAAATTATCCTGGATGCAAATTTTATAATATCAGTTTTCTGTATGGTAGATTCTGTGAAAGCTGAGATGAAAGTAAAAAGAGAAGATCTTTTATTTGTCATCTGCATGGCACGACTAATGCTACACTGGTAATGAAAGTGATGATAGCTTTTTTTTTTGTGCTTCTATCACTGTGAGTAAAAACAAAAACTTTTTAATGATACGAAGTTCCTCTTTTTATTTGGTTGGCAATGTCATACGTATGTACATACTGTAACATGAATAAGCTTATTTTGCTAGTATCACTGTGAGTAGAAATAAAAAATTTATTGAAACAGTTCCTCTTTTTATTTGGTTCACCATGTCATACGGTAACATATTATGTACATACTTAATCAAAGAAAAGCCTACATACATAAACAATGTTTTTAAAATTGTTTTATGGAGGGTTTTTTTTTTTTTCCTTTACCCAGTGATGAAGGCGACTCCTCCCATGATGGCCAAAGCTTTACAGATGAGGAAGAACATGAGACGATGATTTGTCGTAATTGTGTGAACTGTCCCACCTACTCATCCATCCACGGTGCTCTCTATTGTACAGATCTTTGATGTGAAGCAGACAGATTTGCCCTGTTGTGCAGGGTGGAAGCAGTCGCCTCTTACACTATTTAAATTATGTGGATTGGGGAGGGGGGGGGGGGTTAAAAAAAAAAAAACAACTGTTTTCAGTCATTGTACATATCTCTGGAGAAAAACGGCAAGTTTATCCCGTTTTAAAACTATAAATTGTGTGGATGGGGGTGTACAACGTTTGCTGTGAGATCAGGGAGATGATATGGCTGGTGATTTACTGCTCGGGATTATGAGATGTGCATGAAGCTCGGGGGGTGGGGGGGGGGGGTGTGTGCCTGCTGTTGTTTTGCAGCATGCTCAAGGGCTGGATAGATAATAACAACATTGTGCTTAACTGTATGGATAATGATAAATACACGCCAGAGCATACTGTACCTTAATCTCTGCCCCAGTTAATACTCGCCTTTTTGTTTAGTGGTGCAAATCTTGACATTTATCCCAATGGAATTCAAGAGCAAACACAGGTCCTATAGGGCTCAGGGGGATAGGGCCCATAGGGTTATGGCTACAAGCTTGAGGGATTTTTGTCAGATCTGTTTGATTTCTCTGCGCTGGCATGTGAAATGTTTGCTAGTTTCACTGACTTTAGGCCATCATGATGTTACTTTGTTTGCTGCTAGTTTCTTGGAAGGTGCCCTGTCTGGCTGTTACTTTGACTCTTGTTTATTTAATTTTTGTGACTGATGATTCCGGCTTGTTGAGGTGTGTGAAAAAATAAATTGTCTAAACCTGTTCTTGTCACATTTGAAAATACGGTCAGACCTGTTCAAGACAACCTCCCATTTTTAAGGATAGAATGGCAACCCTAATTTAGTTGGTCCTCTTAGACAGTGTCTTAATGTGGCGTCTGTAGTCTAGTAATCAGGCTACCGGACTCGTAGTATCATCAGATTGCGGGTTCGGGGGGGTTCGAGCCTCATTCCTGACATTGTGTCCTTGGGAAAGACACTTAACACCAATTTTCCTCTCTTCACCTGAGTGAGAATGGGTACCTGGCCATGGACCGCAAAAGGTCTTGTCAGCATGTTAGTATTTTTTTTATCGCCTTTAAAACGGCAGCTTGCACTCTAGCTTGTCTCATAGGCTTTGCCCATCGGAGGATCAGTTTCTGGCGGTTTCAGTGCACACTTTAAAAAGACCCCTGCCTCAAACCGATTTCCCTACTTGCAGCCTTGAAAACAAACGGGTTTGTTCTTGAAGGTCATCGTTGGTTCTGTTTGGTTTGTGCCACAGTAATAGCTTTTTTCCCTCCATGGAGGAAAATCTGGCAAAACCTGACTGAACCGATTTTGCCACTAGGTACCGGGTACGAAGAGTATTTCATTAGCGTTTCTTGAACTGGATCATGAAAATGTTGAACAGCGACTTAAAAAAAAAAAAAATGAACAGGGTAATCAGTAGCATGGCATGAGTGGTGGTCTGTTTGGTTATGTTGCCGTAATACTAATTATACAGTTTCAGTCTGTGATTACTTCAACCTGCCAGATTCAGGAGTTGACTGAGAATGAAACAAAGGGAAGAAGAGGAAATTTGGGGATGAGGCAGATTTACATCGCTGACGCAAAGTAAAATGAGTACCTTTGTTTGACCCTGCTGAACAGGGCGAGGGAAGAAATACGATAGGTGATCATTTTTTCATTCGTCAGCGGCATTAAGCTTTTAACTGGGGTTTTTTTTTGGGGGGGGAGGGGTGTTTTATTTCTTTTTTTGTTTCATTTTACTTTAGGTGCAGACACTTGTATTATATTCATGAATTGCCAGTTATTTTAAAGAGATAATACAACAACTGACCTGTGTGTTGTTGTTAAATATTGACGAAAGTACAACTTGTACTTAACAGCTGATTTTGTTTTGTGCTGTTTTACGGAAATTGTCGCAGGCAATGAGTTCGCTGGAGAAGTGCCTGAGGATGTTGTGCAGAGCACAATGAAATGTCAGCAGCTTCTGAAAGTGCCAAATTTTTCCCCTAAAAAAACCCAACGAAAAACAAATTTTGCAGTAGGCTTACTCAGACACAGCAAAGCAAAAATGTATACATTGTAATTTTCTTTAAAATAACTCAGCAAGGTCTGGAAAACACACTTTTTAATGACCAGCCTACTTTTGGTTCTTCCTCCTACTCCTAGCAACAACAACACCCCAAAAAAAAAATAAAAAAATTTAGAACAAAATTATGTAAACATAATGGGCTGAATCAATGCAAGCTGTTTTGGATAGGCCTTTTTTTCAAATATGTAACAAGAAAGTGCTTTACATTTTATCCAGAATGAGATAGTTTAGGCAATAAAACTTAAATTCCCTCTAATTCAGGTTTACGTGTGCAACCCTCCACCACCCCCACCCCCTTGAATGCCGTTAAGCTTATGGCTAAACACTTGCTCAAGGAGAAGAATGTTTGGATGTTTTGTTCCTGGCAAAATCACTACAAGGACAGGAGTTTAAATGTTGTGAACCTGTTGATTTGTTGTTAGCACACTATGTACATAACCCTGGAGATTATCATATATCATTGTTATTTACATGCAACAGCGTCCAAGATTGAAATGAAAGATTCAAAATATGTTACTTTTCCTGAAAATGATGACATTTGATATGGGTTGTTTTTTTCATAAAATATTCCTGAAGAGCTGCAGAGGAAAACTTTCGTTTTAGTTTTAGTTCCTCAAGAAAATAGTTTCCATGGTAACTCATACAATGTAGTTATATAAATATGTTTACAGTATGTATTTATATGTATATATTATATTCGTGGAAAACACGAATTCTGCATCAGGAAGACTATTTTATTGAGCATCTCTCTGTCTTTCTGCTGGGTGTTGTCCCACTCAGCCTGGATTGATCCTGCTCATTGATTGATCTTTATATTGATTTTTTTTTTTCTAATTTAGTGCAAGTTGATGCTTGCTGTGTTATATTTGCCTCTCAGTTTATAGAAAATAAATGCCCAATGTAGGTTCCATGGAATTCATCTTAGAATAAAGATTCAGTGGTTAAAAATTTTAGTTGTTGAAACGTTTTAAGCAGACTTTCTGAGAATGTCTCTCTCTCTCTCTCTCTTTCTCTCTCTCTCTCTCTCTCTCTCTCTCTCACCCAGACACACATGTATGTGTCTGTCTGTCTGTTCTGTCTTTGTCTGCTTGTCTGTCTGCTAATGGCTACAGCTTTATAACTATTGTTATTATTTATATCATTCACACATTGGTATGTGTCCCCCC